TCCACAAGGTTATCCTATCTAATGCATCATGTAAACACATGCTAAAATAAAGAATGTGCCTTTGGGTGAGGTACATCACACAAACATAGCCTAGGATCAATCACCTTCAGGAGAGAACAGTGGAGAATAAGAATAGTAGCTCTTATGCTCTTTTCATACTGAATGCATCAGTACAAGTGGGGCCTCTTTCACTTCCTCAATTTATTAAGAAGCAACGAGATAAAGATCAGAAATTGCAGAGAGCAAAAGGACTAAGTAGCACACAAACATCACTTCTTCTGAGAAATAAATTGGTTGCTTAACTTCAGTGCTACCCACAAAACAGCACTGTCCGCCTGAGGCTGCCCGTTTGTTAGCAATTCCAGAAAGAAAAGCAATGTGCAACCTGGGGGAAGCACAACACTGACACTGTAAGCTCCCACCTGGCCAGGCCAGCAGCGCAATGTTATTGTTGCTATCAACTCCAGCCGGTAAAACGCTGCCTCACTTTTTATTAGAGAGCGAAGTGAAGACATTAACACTGGTAAGAGAGAAATATAGAAGCCAACTGACACATACAACTGTGCTTCCTTGAATGTGCCTGAAGGACACATTCACAACTAAATTTAGCTCATGCACAAATTAGACTTTAACCACTTGGTTAAGTTAAGCCTGGCTCAGTTAGTAGCAAACTCCCTTCTGATTCAGTAGGTTATAATGATAATAATTCTTACATTTAATATAGCACCTTCCACATCAGGAGGATGTCTCAAAGTGCTTCACAGCATATACTGCGAAGTGTAGCGACTGTGTATGTTGTAGCCAAATGGAGCAGCTAACTTGCACAGAGCAATGGCCCACAAACAACCATGTAAAAAATGAACAATTTTATTTGGGGGATTGATGTCCAGGGTACCGGGAGAAACTCCCTTCTCTTTTCCAATAGTGCCATGGAATCTTTATCATCCACCTGAACAGGTAGATGGAACCTTGGTTTAATGTCTGATCTGAAGGATGACATCTCTAACACTCATGCACACTCGCTGAGGTGCATTAGAGTGTCAGCCTAGACTATATGAATTCCAAGTAACATTAATAATAATAATCCTTGCATTTGATATAGCGCTTTTCACGTCGGGAGGACGTCCCAAAGCGCTTCACAGAACACACTGTAAAGTGAATTGACTGTATATTTATGGGCGAACGCGGCAGGCAATTGCGCACAGCAATGTCCCACAAACATTGTGGGTTATGGGTTCAAGCTGCACATTAGATCTTTGAACTCAGTCAAGTCTGATACTCCAATGCAGCTCTGGAGGTGTGTTGCATTGCTGAAGATGCCATCCTTCGAATGAGACATCAAACAGTGTCGGAGTAAATATTAAAGATCCCCTGGCACTGTTTGAAAAATGGGGTGGGGTTCTCATCACCTTCAATATCCTCATTCTAATCTCCTTACCTCTGGGATCTTCTCCAGCTTCACTCTCCTACTCCCTCAACTGCCATATCTAACAATGACAGCAAATATAAGCCTGCTGTGAGATCCTTGTCTCAATCTGAGCCACAGACCCTTCAGGCATTGTGCCCCCACCATACAAACTTCTTCTTTCAAACTCTCTGTCTCTCCTCCTCTCCATCTGTCTTCAAAAGCTGCCTACTAACCGCTTTCTTTGCCTGTGCCAATTGATCCTCTTCCCCTCCATCCTTGCTAGGTGTCTGGTGCTAATGTGTAACGCACTGAGACATTAATCTATCTATGTGAAGCAATTTGTTGTTGAAAACTTCTTTCTTCCAACTCCCCCCCCAACCCCTCCCTGCAGCACAATGTGTTCTAATAACACTAACATTGAGATACTGCTGAGCACAGCACTAGGTTTCTGACCCTTTCCACAGTTTTTTTAGCTTCTTATTCCTTGAGGGAAGGATCTAAACACTTCGGTTACCAAGGTTACTCGATTACTCATTACAAGTGGCAGTTCAGTGGGAAACTGTACCTGATGCACACCTTTTCTGCAGGAATCAAACGCAGCCTACAGGGAACTGCAAACTGGCCGGGGATAAGCAGGACTTGACTGAATTTCAGTACGGCGTTTTCTCACAGGGCTTTCCACATCCTGACATTTTGATTTTTTTCAAAAATATTTGAGCAAATATGAAAAAGGTAGCCATAATGTACGGTTATGTTTACTCACTTAAGACGGTGCCTATTTCTATATCCTCCAGTTCTGTCCGTCTGATGCTGTTAATCAGCAACAACTGCCGTTGCCTAATCAGGTGACACACTATGACAACCTTCTGATTCTGCCGTTAAAACAGAAGGTTGTGAATTCAACCCCCACATCAGGATACTGTGGCACTCCAATGCAGTGCTGGGGAAGCGTTGCATTGACATAGGTGCCATTCTTCAGATGAGACATTAAACTGAGATCCCGGCTGTTTATTCAGGTGGTCGTTGAAAGTCCCAGCGCACAATTTGAACAGAGGTGTATGTACGAGTGTCCTGGCTAACAATTTCCCAGTGGAGTCATGTAATATAGTGGTTAGAGAACTCCCTTTGCAAATGGGAAGACCTGAGTACAATTCCTGGTCAGGGCGAAACGTTATTCCAGTTTCCTACTCCACACGTCTGTTTACCTAGTAGTAAGTAGGAACCCGTTTGTTAGTTGACTAGCGGATTGCTTTTCCGGGGGTAATAATCTCTCCCCCACAAAAAATAAATAAAATAATAATAATAATTTGGTCGTTCAATCCACGACTGTTTGTATGCTGTATATAATTGGCTGCCACGTTTCACCCACAAGACCCCACAGTAAGAATGGCCACTTGGCTGAGGAATCAGGAGTGTGATCAGCACCCACAGAACCATACCCTGGAGAAGAAGTAAAAAGTCAAAATGATAGGAGAAAAAACTGAAGAAGAAAAAAAACATAACTCAATATATTATCTTGTTCGTATGTGTTCGGACTGTGGAGCTGCACGTTAGCCAATAAAAGTTGTAACTTACTTTGGCAGACAAACAAGATTAACGTATTAATGTTTAGTTTAAAATGCTGAGCCTACACAACTAGCCTTTGGAGTCAGAGGCCTAATTCCAATAGGAGAGGATCACGGGAGGAGACAAGGTAACTATTCCAGTAAAAGTTTAACTGGTAGCATAAGTGCAAAAAGAACAGTGGAAAAAGTGGGCAACCAGAAGTGTTTAAAACTGCTTTGTTCTTTTCATTTTATCGGAACAGAAGTAAAACACCATGCCAACATCTGGCAGCATCATTTTATTAGTTTTGGGTATTGCTTCAGAGTAATGGTGTGCTGGGGGAAAATAAACTGGTCAGCTCAGCGAGGGGGAGTGCCTGCATTTTCTAAAAGCTGCCAAAAATCCATACGTTATCACTATGATGTACAAAAAAATATATTTCTTGCAATTAAATGATTCCAGCACTACCTGCATCACAGCTTTTGAATTCCGGGGCCTAAGTTAATATATTACTGGTCTGAGTTCTTATTGCAAGCTTTTTTCCAATATGACTTGTCCTCAATTCTGGACTCAAGATTACTAAAAATTTACCTAAAAAACGAAGTTTTAACATAACGGATATTTAACAGTTCATATAACAATGACTGAATGCTGAGATCTATCATCAGCAGTGGGTTATAAATCAACACATTAGCGAACTGAGATAATATAAAGGCAAGAGCAAAGCTCAAGGATGTGCAATTGGAGTCCTGCAGTTCAGCAAGAGACCTGGGTTGGATTCCCAGCAGGGCGAAACCTTGGGCAAGTTTCCTTACTCCACACACCTGATGCAAGGATTATTATTGTTATAATAATCCCTCAAGAAAAAAACAATAATACATTGGCAATTGGTTACCGCATTTCACCCACAAATAAACAGTCAATTCACCTTACAGTATATTCTGTAAAATGCTTTGGGTCATTTAGAAGACGTGAAAAGCGCTATATCAATAGCTATTTGACAAAAACACAAATTTCCATCAAGACAATGGAATTTTACATTCAGAAGTCATCTCACTTCCAAATTACACTACTAATTCTTGGATTTGATACTGCACTTCATCACATCATCAAAGCACTTCACGTATCTTTACTGTAAAGTGCAGTAAGTGTGGATACGTGAGGGTGAACAACTTCACTAGCTCAGAATCTGTGCTTCAGAGAATATATAAAATAAGAAGAGACCCGATACAGGGCAGAACAGCATCAATGTCTATGGTTTCAGTCTTGAATATACGGATAGCATAACGGTCATCTCCTCCCTATCCTCGGCGGCAGACTCCACCGCTGTTAAGTGTTCTGAGACACTGCCCCTCGTGAAGGGCGCTATATAAATGCAAATTGTTGTTGTATATACAGGGTGTTTATAAAGTTCTGTTACCCCTGTTTTTTTTGCTTACAATGATTTTTTTTACTTCCTGTTGCAGATGAGTCGAGTGTAACACTTGGCTGATACCAATAACTCCACCACCGACCGAGGGAACGTGTTCTGGTCGGTGCCCGGGAACATCGATGTCCCGGGAGACCAGAAAGATAAAGGAACAATATAATCAGAACATAAATAATCATAAAACAGTGATATTACGGTGAACGGTTCCAAAACGTGGCTCTCCCAAAATGTTAACCGCTTGTACTGAGTACACAATGAAGTACAGCGCTTCCAAATACTGTGCAACGATCATCATTCTCCCACACGGTTCACTGTTGGATCGGTCACTGTGTTAAAAAAAAAAGCCCCACATATTACGGGGTGGGGGGGGGGGGGGGGGGTAACGGGACTTTGTGTACGTTGGCAAAGCCACAAGCACGAGGGTGGGCTTTCCCCGCAGCTCTACTGTGTGATTCAGAGAGCGAGCGGCTTGTGTCAGCGCCGCCCCCCGGGCTCAGGCCGCACCGAGGCCGGGGCTGAGCCGGGGCCTAGCGCCACTTGAACTTGAAGCCTGCCTGTCGCCATTAGCCGAGCACCGGGCGGCAATGGCACCTGCCTCTCCCTCCCTCCCTCACTCACCAGATCTGGAAGCGGAGCACGGGGCCGGTGGCGTACTGCATCTTGAGCCGCTTGTCGGCCCGCCCCTGGCCGGCGTGGTGCAAACAGACGAGCGCCAAGAACAGGAGCGAGAAGGAGAGCGCGCCGCCCGCCGCCATCACTTCAACACTGACACTGCGCCTGCGCGGCTCCCACACCTAACCCCACCCACTGCGCCTGCGCGGCTCCCACACCTAAACCCCCTATCCACTGCGCCTGCGCGGCTCCCACACCAGCACGGCCCCGCCACTGCGCATGCCCAATACCTCCATGGTGGTGGGAGCTGGATGTCTGACGCATGCGCAAACTCCAAACCGTGCTTGAGTGTCCCAATGGAAGTGGGAATTTCAGGCGTCATTTATGATACACAGAGATTCCTGTCTGGAATGGACTGCGCACTCTCTGCCCCGGAGGGATCCACCGGCTCATCTAATTCCAGAGAGTATCGGGCGCGGCCAAGGCTCGGGATCCCGGAGTGTGAACTGCTGAAGGTTAATCAGCGAAAAACCCCGAGCGTTCCCGCTGCTCATTCAGCGATGACCACCCGACCCGACCCGTCAGGGCTTTGGCTCTCAGGGTTGACTGGAGGTGAACAGCTGGTCTGTCAGCCCCAGGGGACCCGCCTGGCTCAGGACCCAGACTGCTGAGACCGCAGAGGGTTGACTCAGTTCCAACATTCCATCACCTTGGATCCGGTTGAGTGCTCGGAGCACAGGATTTACTGTAAGGTGTAGTGACCGAATGCAGGACGGGGGATGTGAGGCAGGCCGGTGCCCACTGAGCAGAGGGAGCGGCCGGGTTGGTAGGGTTTGAGGAGGTCACAGAGGTAGGGTGGGGCAAAACCATGGAGAGATTTAAAGTTTACGTACAGGGGATGGACAGCCAGTGGAGCTGAGCAAGCTGGGGTTGATAGGCTCACAGAGGCTGGTATAAAAGAGGACATGAGCAGAGTTCTGGATGGTCTGCAGCCTGTGAAGGGAAGAAGCGACAAGCAGAGAGTTGGCGTAGTCAAGGCTGGTGTGATGAAAGCATGGATGAGTGTCTCGGTGGTCCAAGGAGCGGAGTAGTGGGCAATGTTACGGAGGTGGGGGAAAGTTGAGTGGGTCAGAGCACAAATGTGAGGTTTGAAGGAGAGTTGGGCGTCGAACAAAATACTGAGGTTCACACAGTCTATGCGAGGAGGAATGTAGATTCCTGCAGTGGATTCCTGTAGCTCAGTGGTTAGAGCACTCGCCTCGCAAGCAAGAAACCTGGATTTGATTCCCGCGGGGCAAAACCTTGGGCAAATTTCCTTACTCCACGTGCCTAATAATAATCCCTCAAGAGAAAAAAACAATAATAAATTGGTTAGTTCAATCCACAGCTGTTTGTGGGACAATGCTGTGCGCAATTGGCGTTTCGCCCACAAATATACAATCAATTCGCTTTTCAGTATATTCTGTGAAGCGCTTTGAGATGTCTAGAAGACATGTAAAGTGCTATCAAATGCAAGGATTATTATTATAATAGATGGAGGCGGAAGCGAGGGAGGCTGCTTGGCAGGTGGTGGTGCAAGAAAACAACAGGAGGATGTGACAGGAAAAATCTTAATAAAAGCCACAAACACAAGCGGTAACCAGGTTACAACCTCAACTGCTCCCTCCACACTCAGATCTCAGCTGTTTCATTTTATTTTGTTGCTCTGCTTTTTATTAAATTATTTACATCGATTACAATGAATTCCCTTTTTTTTGGCCCACGGTCATCTTCCTGAAGACGCTGGGTTCAGATCCACAGACTGGCTCCAGGAGCTCGCCCAAGTGGGGGCCACGTGGGGGCAGCGGAGACAACACACTGATTCCAAGCGTTCAAAATAATAAAGGGACTTGACAAGGTAGCTGCAGAGAAATTATTTTCTCTGGTTGGGAAATCCAGGACAAGGGGGCATCATCTGAAAATGAGAGCTCAGCCATTTAGTGAAATCAGGAAACACTTTTTGATACAAAGGGTACTGGAAATCTGGAACTCTCCTCAAACGTCTGTATGAGGTGGATTGATATTTGTTAGGTAAGGGTATCAAGGGATATGTTATAAATGATATATAAATAAATTTATAAGTAAACTTATAAATATTATTATTATTGTCAAGGGATATGTGGCAAAGGCGTGTAAATGGAGTTGAGTTACCTATCAGCCATGTTCTAATAGAATGGTGGAACAGGCTCAAGGGACTGAATGGCTTGTTCCCTCCTCACTTGGCATCTGCACCTCACATGCCTTTCAGTAGAAGGGGAGAATTTAACTGGTTAGCGATTGGGAGTAGAAACCTTGGCTGATTGTCTCCAGGGCCGTTGAGGCTAATTTTAGCCCAAACTGTGGCCGTGATCAGGGATTTGAAGCGCCTTCTATTCTGTAGTGGCTAAAGTACAATACCGAACGGTGCCTCTGCCCACTTGTCTGGTGTGGGGAAGCTACTCTACACATTGAGAGCAATCTGTCAGCAGACTTCTGTTTCGCCACATCTGTGACAGCAGGAATCAAATAGATTCTTTTATACAACAACCTCAATCAGGAATCAGCCAATCACCCACGTAGAGCAGACAAGCGATTAGAAGCACTGAAAGCCAATAAACCAGATTTGCTGGATAAATATAATACAGTGATGGAGATGATTGGGATTTATATTCTACGATCAGCTACACTAATGCAACTCATGTTTGTCTGTCTTCCCAAAGAAAATGCACCTTTAGATTCGCCAGGCTCACTGAGATGCTTTCACTCTCTGCTGAGGGCTGATTGAGAATCTGATCAACTCGGGATAGAGATTCCATCCTCGGTCCGTATTTATCTCAGTCAGAACCACAGCTGAGGGCCTCAGCCCTCTGGATTATAGGAGTGAAAATAAGTCATTTATCTTAAGAGAGGGAAAGATAAACACTAGCAAAAAGAGTGTTGCGCAGAGAGGGAGAGAGAGAGAGAAAGAGACTGTGATAGATAGAGGAAAAGAGACAGCGGTAGAAACAGGGAGGCACACAGAGGAAGGGAGAGAGGGTAGATTTTCCCCTCTGGAGTGGATCTAGCACCGGGTTGCCTGAGATCAGCTAACTCAGCATAGACCAAATATGGCTTATCACTTACACTCTCCCAAACTTATTTTCCCAGATATCGTTAACCTTCACGGGCGAATTACAGATAACAGTGAGCTAAATAAAACAACCTGGCCCTATACAGCGCCTTTCTCACAGAGAAAAATCTCAAAGTGCTTTACAAAGACAGAGTGCCCCCAGCCACCCCCAGGCCAAGTGGGAAGTCAACAGCGCAGAGGGAGTTGATCGGGAGGGGGGGATTAGGAGGGGTAAGCTTCCAGGAGGGATAAGCAAGCCAGGGAGGAGGTGGGAGATTTATGGGGTAAAATCTAGAGCAGACCCTGCTACCACTGGTGAGATGCAGGATTCGGAGAGTCTGGAGTGGAGGGAGCAGGAAAGTGAGGCGAGAGGAGATTACTGAGGGAGAATGCATGGAGGCATTTACGAGCTCTGAGACGTTAAACCGCGTGAAGACTGCTATATAAACGCAGATTGTTGTTGAGATATTTATCTAAGCAAAATTTTAAATCCAGAAGAGATAGACCTTTATTTTTTTTCTCGTAATAACATCACAGATTTGCTTTAAACTATTCAAACCTTTTACATTGCATAGTGTAGGCTTCTCCCCTTCCCCCCAATAAAATGTTACGATGGGAATGCCGTGCCGGGCGAGTGGGTGTCCGCGGAGGCCAATCACACGCTCAGCTCCAGATCCTCCAGCTCCTTCAACAGGATGTCCTCTTTTAAGATTTTTTCCATCTACGTCAGGGGGAGAGAGTCACACAGGGTGTTGTCTGCACTGGCATTGCTGCCGGACAGGTTTCAGTTGGCAAGCGTTGAAAGCAGTTTCTCCCTGCCCTACCTCGCTGCTCTCAAAGATTGCTCACGCTAATTTGGTTCACAAATACTTAAACAGGAAATTGCTTCTGTAGGAAGTCTATTTTTGGTCAAAAATAGAGACCTTATCGTTGAGGGTGCTAACCACTACACTACGGAACTCTTTGCTGTATCATATAATATATACTTCCTCAGCAGGTCTAATTGCCTTTTACATGCCTTGGAGCTGCCAATGCGGGTATCACACTGCCCAGGTGTCACACAGAACCCTGCTCCACACTCCTTACCTGGTTCTTTTCCAGCTGCTTCCCAGACGCTTGCTGCTCCTTCAACTGCTCTATAGCTTTTAATTTCTGCAGAGACAAGAATCCGGTGAAGTGATGTTTTCGCAGAATACGTAAAAACTTGAGACGTATTGAACTCATTTTATGTGTTTTTTGTATTGTTAACAATTGTAACACGTTTGTAATGAGGTACAGGCCAATTACCATGTATCAGGAGTGTGTGCTCCTCTCCTCCACCACAATTTACCTTTTTAATGTTTTTTATCTTCTTGTCTACCTCCGGGTCCCCGTGACCCTCAATACACTGGACTGCTCTGGCCTCAGGTTCAGGTGGAGTTTCCTGGATTTCAGGTTTGTTCTCCTGTAAGAAACAACATGGGTTATTTATTGACACCTGTACATTCGTCACTTCTTTCCCAAAGGCACCTGATGCCTTAAAATCCACCAACTCTTCACCCATGCAAGTATTTTGCTTTTATATTTTTGCATTGACAGTTTTTGCAGTTCTTGAAAATTAAGCCTGAATTTATGAATTTTACTCAATTCAGCACAATCTTTAATTTGAAGATAAAACAGCCTGACAGGCACAGACTGGGGGGAACATTGGTTACTGGTCACTTATTTCAAGACTGTTTGTGGGACAATGCTGCACCCAGAAAAAAATAGACACTACACTTTACAGTGTATACTGTGGTGCTTTAAGACACCAGATGTAAGGATTATCATTATTAATAGTATATTAGATACTAATCTAACACGGTCCTTGTTTTCCCTGCCTTTGGCATCGGTCTCCACAGGCTTCCTCCTCCATCTCAGTTAAGAGGCCATGATTGGGCAGAGAGCCCAGTAGCGTGAGGAGGGAACTGAGTGAGGTGGAACAGAGTGAGAATTCTATTAAGGAATTTGGTGAGAGTGGGAATTGAGCAAAGTAAATCTTTGAAGGTGGCAGGACGGGTAGATAAGGCTGTTAAAAAAGCATACGGGATACTTTTATAAATAGAGGCATAGAATACAAAGTCAGGAAGTTACGATAAACTTTCATAAAACACTAGTTAGGCCTCAGCTGGAGACTGTGTTCAGTTCTGAGCACAACATTTTAGGAAGGATGTCAAGGCACTGGAGAGGGTGCAAAAGAGATTTACCAGGATGGTACCAGGAATGAGGGACTTCAGTTATCAGGAGAGGCGAGAGAAGCTAGAATTATTCTCCTTGGAGCAGAGAAGTTTAAGAGGAGACTTAATAGAAGTTTTCAAAATTATGAGGGGTTTCAATATGATGAACAATAAGAAACTATTTCCACTAATGGGTGGGTCGGTAACCCAAGGACACCGATTTTCAAATAGTTGTTAAAAGAAACAGAGTGGAGGTGAGGAGAAATTTTTTCACACAGCGAGTTGTTTCGATCTGAAATACATTGCCTGAAAGGGTGGTGGAAGCCAATTTTATAACAACTTTTAAGAAAGAACTAGATAATGATTTGGGGAGGAGAGGTTTGCAGGGCTATGGGGAGAGCACAGGAGAGTGGGATTGAAATGGATAGCTCTTTTCAAAGACCCGGCACAGGCACAATGGGCCAAATGGCCTCCTTCTGTGCTGTATAATTCTATGATTCTATGATTGTTATGTGAAAGTTGACAAGCTCTGCTTTTCCTCCAGTTTCAACAGCCTCCCCCACCAACCAACCTCCCCCAGCCTTCCCCCGGGATAATAGCTTGGTTATCACAAAAACAACAACTTTCATTTATCCACCCGTGGCTTAGGATAATGCTTGAGGCAGTTAATAACAGTGGTGGAGACTCAGGTAAAGCCAAACTGGACTGCTGGAGGATTACCAGTTTCGCTGCCTTTCTCGCCTCACGTTTCTTTTGATTTTTCAGAGCCGCCTTCGAGAGCTGCTTGTCCGCATTTTGTGGTTTCATGTTCTGAGGTGGTTCTTCTTCATGCTAATGGAAAAGAAATAATAATAATCCTCGCATTTGATATAGCGCCTTGTCACATCGTCGAGATGTCACAAAACCGAAACACGGCAGTCAGTTGTGCATAGTAATGTCCCACAAATAGCCATACAGTGAGCGACCCATTTTATTAGAGGATTGTTGGCCAGGACACAGGGATAAACCCACTTCTCTTTTTGAATAGTGTCATGGAAGCATTAACATCCACCTGCCTTAGATTAATATCTCATCCACAGGACGGTACCTCCAACATTACAGCACATCCCTAGCACTGCATTGGAGTATCAGTCAGCACAGACTATATGGGTTCCAATTCCCGACATGGGGCTTGAACCCTTGTCACTTGTCAAATGTGCCAAGCTCAATCCATAACACTTTCATCTCAGAGGCAGAACAAAAGAGACCTTGCTTCTGAAGGAAACATTCACCTTACACCCAGCCTGCTCCAAATCCATCACATTCACCATACAAACTGAGCAGTAACTGTCAGGACCGTTCTCTCTCTCCCTGTCTCTCTCTCTCTCGGATACTTGGTTTAAAGCTAACACACGTTCACTTCATTTAGTTGCAGTTCCCAGGGTCTCAGTTGTTCGCTGGAAATTTTCCGAACATCAATGGCTTCAGCCCTTCTGACCAGAACCCCCACCCAACCATCCTCCCATCGCAGCAAGGAGCTGTTTTTCAAACAAGTCCAAGCCTGAACCACACTCCCTGACATCCTGTTCCAGTTGTCAATTACCCTCTAGCTAAAGAAAACCTTGCTGGTAGCTGCCCTGAAATTGTGCTTTGCAATTCTAAACCCGTCATCTACTGTCATGATACACCCTAAAGTAAGGAGTGACGATTTAAAAGGTCCCTTCTGAGTCGTCTTCTCTCAAGACTGAAGAGCCCGAGCTTGTTTGGTCGGAACCAAATGTAAGGATTATTATAGTTCTCCCGTCTTAACCAGGGTAAAATTACAAAGGACGCCCGAGCATGAATGGAGCACGAGCGGAGGGATGTTGTGTACAACACTCACCAGTTTGGAGCTGGTCACAGGTTTGTCCCTCAGGGCAGGTGGTCTGTAAGCCTGTGCAGGCTTAGCGTCGATGGTCAGTGAGTCAGTGGGGACTGTCTGATACTCGATGCGTTTCTCTGGAAACGCCCCGTCCTTGAACGGTTGCCACTGCACCTCCCAGAGTTCAGCGTTTGGCGGCACCTCGTATTTGTGCCTCACAGCGCCGCTGTAGTGCCAGATCTTATAGCCGTTACCGACTCGCAGTCTCGGTGCGCAGGTGGCAGTTGCGATGTGCTCGCCATCCGGGCACCAGCAGAAAAAGGTGGTATCGCTCGCCTGAGGCTTGGAGATCAGTTTGTACTGTTTAACATCCCAGACCTCCATCTGTCCCCGCAGGTTCCCGAAGCCGGCCAGAACCAGAATGTGTCCCTGTGGGCTGTAGAAGCCAGCGTTCCGAGGCCCAGTGCCGAAGTCGAAGATGGGGTCGCACTTCAGGTTAAAAACTGTAGCCTTGGCGGGCATGAACCCATATACGGCGCAAAACTCCAGTGAATTGGGGTTCCAGGACACGTCATAAATAGGGCCGTTCTTGGCTGAAAGGAGAGAATGTTAGAATCCAACAGTAACACCGAAGAGCTTCTATTAAAAGAGTAAAGTATACAATGTGAAAAATATAACACAAGGCAGGGCTGTGAAGGTGGGGACTATTTATAATCCAACCCCATTACAAGACTACATCTACAGGGTCTTTACCCAACCTTCAGATTTATGAGGATGATACCAGGGCAGGCAAGGTACTGCTATCAGGATACAGTGGATCGGTTGGGCCTTAAGAGACATTAAAGGGGGTTACCTGATAGGCATTTAAGGAACATAGGAACAGGAGTAGGCCATTCAGCCCGTTGAGCCTGTTCAGCCATTTAATTAGTTTAATTTCCCGCTTTCTTCCCATATCCCTCAATATCCCGAGCTACCAAAAAATCTGTCAATCTCTTTCTTGAAGGTGTGGATGGATCCAGCATCCACGACCTTTTGGGGAAGAGTTCTAGATTTCTACCACTCTTTGAGTGAAAAAAAATGCTTCCTAATTTTACTCTTAAATGGTCTGGTTCTAATTTTAAGACTATGCCCCTTGTTTTGCATTCCCCCAACATAGGAAATAACTTTTCTGCATCTACCCTATCAAATCCCTTCATCATCCTAAAAATCTCACAGGGTTTGATAAAGTTAACATAGTCTGTTTGCACTGGCTGGGGAGTCTGTAACCAGGAGACACAAATATAAGCTAGCGCTTAAAGCGTCACTCCCTACCCTCCATTACTTATGACTCAGGGGCTCTAAAAGAGAATTCAGTAGGCACTACTTCGTGCAAAGGGTGGTGAGATTGTGGAACTATTTGGACCACGTTGTATTGGAAGAACTCGTCAGCAAAGAGATTTACTGCAACAGCAATAAAAAAAAGACAAGATCACAGCTTAACCAGACAAAAGAACAGCAGCTTTAAATTGTTTTTAAAGCAGAAGGAGGGAATACATACGTAGCTGTACTACTGCACTTTCTCCATTGGTTGCTATATAGTGCAGGGTTTGTTCACCATAATACGATGCTCCGGACTTGTCCACATCTGTGCTGGCAATCACCAAAACAGCAGAGCCTGCAGCAGAACAACAGGGTTAACTAAATATTTCCAAATCCAGAGATGAGCAGATGCCTTTAAAATAGCAACTTTAAACCACGCTTTCAGTTTTGATTGGAAAACATCTACAGTAAAACTCACATAAGCCGCATCAGTCGGGACGAAAACATTTAATATGACTTAAGTGAAGTCCGAGCTACAGGCAAACTGTATAAATTGTATTTATATTTGTATTGTATTTAATCAATAGTCTACATTGCATGTGTGCGAAATTCAGTGCAGCCGGTACATGCACATGTAGTGATGGGTCAAGACTAAGTTTCCTGTAATTCAACGCGCCTTGACCGGTCGTTTGCACATACTACCACAGAACACTGGAATCGAATTGAGTTGTGGGAAATGATGTTCTTCTGTGCATGTGTCAACACATCAAGGCAACATCTCCCGCGATTCAACCCAGTTTATCTGGTAAGTGCGACGAGTCAGGATTTCATTTCCCCGCGATTCAAGGCCTCCAGTAATGGAGTGATGGAGGGTAGGGAGTGACACTTGAAGCGCTCTGAGTGGACGGCGCAAGTTGTTGTTGTTGTTGCGAGTTAAGTGGTGATTAATATGACTAGTGCAAAGAAATGTAATTGTGGAAAGTCGTCAAATTCAGTCTGGACTTGGAAGCCAGGTTCCCTTCAAGAACTGCAGAAAGACAGCTTCCTAATTATGGCTGAAATTAAGAAATTTAAATTTAAATTTAATATAAAACAGTCACTACACAGGAAATCCTGTGAAGTGCTTTGAGACGTCCTCCTGACGTGAAAGGCATTGTATCAAATGCCAGGATCATCTCGGGGCACTCTCTCCATCTCTCTCTCACTGTAAATTTATCCCCATCAGCGAGTAGTGAGGTACTGTACGTACCTTTCTTGTTCCACAGCATTGTCACTTTGTCAGCTTTGAAGAAGCTTTTATTGGCTAAGGCAGAGGTGGGGCCGCCAAAGTTTGGGTATTGATACAGCCGAACAAATGATGGAGCGCCTTTCGATCCAGGCACATAAACGGCAACCTTTTACACAAGAAAATAACACAAACATCACCAGCAATGTTAATTTCTCTCTCCCTCTACACCCACCCCTATTTTCATCCCTATTGTAAAAACGACCCGTGCACAGACAATTATTATAATCCTCGTGTTTGATACTGCACCTATGACGCTGAAACGTCTCGAAGCACTTTACAGGAATTAATCTTTGCGTGGTCACTGTGACTTTGTAGCCAAATCGGCAGCCAATTACATACAGCAATGTCCGGAAACAGTGTTCTTCTACATTACCTCAAAACTCTGTAAAATACATTCAGATGTTTCGATGAGATAAGACGCTATATCAAATGCAAAGATTGTTATATGGTGAACTTCATCTGGGGGATTGTTGGCCTTTAAAGGGGGAGAAACTCCCTTCTCTTTCCGAATAGTGTCACCAGATCTGTAATGTCCACCTGAACGGGACCTTGGTTTAACATCTCATCTGAATGACTCTGACGCTGACCAACACTGCACTGTCAGCCTCGAAGCCTCGACTATGAGTTCAAAATCCTGTCTTCTTTATGAGGCTCCCCTCCGTGTAATTTGTCCTCATTTCAATGCAACTGTACCTGCCCTCTACCGGCAAGTCTCAACCTAGCAGTGCAGCAAACCTCTTTACTTCGCTGCTTCTGTCTCCTGCCTTAACTCTCGCTTTGTCTACCTCTCCCTTCTCGGTGCTCCCTGCAAGCGTTATCCAGTTCGAGACGATTGAGACGTCTCAATGAGCTTCATAGGAATATACAGCAAAGACCACAGCAGAGAGCATGGCGGAAGCACATAGGAATGTACCTTGATGGGCTGCAATCCCGGGGACAGCACAAAGTCAGTCACTTTCTGCAGGTGGAGTTTAGTCGCTATTTTATCTGCAAAATACAAATGTCAGCATAAAAGGCAATGGCATTCACTGCAGAATGTCACTGTAAAATTATATCCCACAACTTATAAACAATGTTTATATAACCATACAATGTTAAATGACAGACAAGTATCAAGAGAGTTTAACAATATTGATCACTCTATCCTTCTCCAGCACCTCTCAGCTCCACCTTCATGGTTCTTTCCTTTCCTGGTTTAACTCTTATTTATCCCAACGCCTCCACTTCGTATCTGCCAATGGCTTCTCCTCCTCCCACCCACACAATCACATGTGGAGTTCCTCAGCGCTCTATCCTTTATCCCACATGGATGCAAACTCCACCTCATTCTCACCTTTAAATCCCAGGAAGGGCAGGTTTGAGATGGGTCTGAAGTTTGTGAGGTTGGAGGGATCGAGGATAAGATTTTTTTTTAAAAGAGAGGAGTGATGATAGTAGTTTTGAAGGAGAGTGGGACTGAGACTGAAGAGAGGGACTGATTGATTTGTGTCAGCCAGCAGTGGGAAGAGGACGGGGAGTTGAGTGACCAAAAGCTGGGTGGGGAGAGGGGTCGAGGCAGCAGGTGGTGGGCTTCATTTGGGTGTTGGTGGGGGAAAGGGAGGAGGGAGAGGAAGAGGAGGTAGCCAGGTGGATGTAGTCTATCTTGGAGATAAAGGAATCTACAACGTCTTCGTATTTGGCAAGGGAAGTGTGTGACATTCCCATTTCTGGGCTGTCGATGCTCTGATTCAATTGAGTGATCAGGAAATGTGGTGGGTGCACAGCACGTACCAAATTTGTTATCCTCAAAAAACTGCACTTCGTTGTTTACGTTCCGAGCGCAGACGCTTTCATTATCAGACCAGCAAGGACACCTGACGGCAGAAACACAGCGCAGTCAACACCCACATTCAGAGAAGCAGCAAATGTTTGAATAAAAAAAATCCTTGCACTTGACACAGCACAGGGAGGGCATACTGTAACAGTGTCTTTTGCAGAGGAACGCTGCAACCAATTTGCGCACAGCAGTGTCCCACAGACAGCCATGGAACGAATGACCAATTTTGTTTGGCCAGGACACCGGGAGAAAGAAATCCCCTTCTCTTTTCGAATAGTACCATGGATTTTTAGCAGATAGGGCCATAGTTTAAAGATTCATCTGAAGGACAGCACCTCTGACACAGGGTGACACAAGTCAAGATATTCGAGACATCAAGGTTGGAGCCCACTGATTGTAATTTAACAGCTGAAACCAAACCAAGAGTGTCCCAGTATGAGGCACCGCGACATGTGTTCAAATCGGACCGCTTGCTGGGACATTGGCTTCTACAGTATTATCAGGAGACCAATGAAAAAGGAAGCTTGACCCTCGGAACACGTCTATGCTACCATTCCCACTGATGAGCCGGGCAGCCTGGGTCAGTTATCACCAGTACTGTGGAGCTGCCTGGCCCCGGGATCAGATCACCAAGCACCAAGGCGAGTTGTTGGACCTGCACTAGCCTGGGAGCAGCGCACTTCCTTCACATAGGAAGTGGCATCAGCAGTATTCACACCCCATTGTAACGTGACCTCTGATTTAATGGATCCAAATTACATTGCTATAATGGAATCTGACTCGATTGAAGTTCAAAGTCCACTTCACTTTCATTTTAGGATGTTACACTTATTTCAAATATCACTGGGGTTCTGTTCCTCTCTGGTGGGCTGGGCGAACGACACAGTTAATTATAATCTTTGCATTTGATACAGTGCCTTATCACGTCATTGAGACGTCTCACAGGATATACCGTAAAGTAGATTGACTGTGTACTTTTGTGGGCGGGCTGTCAGACTTGTACTGAGGCATCCAATTGCACACAGCAGCGTCCCACAAACAGTCGTGGATTGAGTGACCAAATTAGTGAGTGACCAGTGAGTAGTAAATGAGTTTGTGTTTTGAAACACTACGATTCTTATATTTACCAGCTCTGCATTTTCTTTTGGAAGAACGATTTGAGACATTGCCCAGTGCTGAGATCCCACATGTGCAGGTTCGGCTCTCCTTGTGTATTTTCTTTGGATGCTAAACAGAACATGAACAAAGAACTTAGAATTGACCCCCAACTCTATCTCTCTGCCCCCACCCTTGAGTCCAAGACAGCTGTTGTACTGACAGATTGCCTGTCAGACATCAAGTCATGGATGACAGCTATCTTTCTTCAGTTGAATGTCAACAAGACCAAGACCCTCCTTATTGAGTCCTGTCAGCATTTCCTCATCTCAGGCATTGACAGCATCACTATTCGTGGATGCACTCTCCACCTTATTGAGCCAGTACGAGAACCTTGGCATCTTGTTCGACTCAACTGTCCCTTAAACCTCACACAGGTCGGGTGCAAAACCTTGACTGTCCAGTGCATTGGATGTTCTCCGACGTGAAAGGTGCTATATAAATGTCAATTTGTTATTTTTCTGACAGAGGAGAAAGTTGTACTAACCCAAAATAGTACAAAGATCCAAAGTGATTGATTTCTGTACGGAATGACTCACTTGTATATGGCTGCCATGTTGCCAAGATGCTGTTCTGTGGGGAGAATGTCAGGAAGGTCGCTTTTGGCAGGTCAATTGAGTGCAACAAATTGCCATCCACACTGTTCACGATAGTTACACTGTAGAGAGAGTGAGGGAGAGAGAGAGCAGACAATATTCAATCAAAATCCCAACTGGGTACAGAGCAACTTCAATCAGTGCAGTGAGATAATGGGGGGGGGGGGGCGTAGCACTGTGGAGATTTATACGTTGAGAACTTGCCAATATTCTCAGTACAATCTGACAGCTTTAATTTGTACAGTGAGCTTCATTATTATTATCCTCTCGGGTGTCAAAATCATATTAAAGCACAAGTTTTTTTAAATTAAATCATTCAGCTTTGAACAAAGCACTCTGCTAAGTAAAATATAAAGCAGTGTAAAAGCAAATTCTGAAGCTGAAATTTATTCCTGCCCGGGAAAGTGACTGCCACTCATGCTTTAGAAAGTGACTGCCACTCATGCTTTAGAAAGTGACTGCCACTCATGCTTTAGAAAGTGACTGCCACTCATGCTTTAGAACAACCTGTACGGATATACACAACACCTTACATTGTAGGGCAACATCTTGAAACACCTGTCAAGGGTGGAGAGGGAAACCGGAGCCAGCTGGGATGTGGAGGGAGCAGTCTGAGCCGCAGTCACATAGGGCGGTTTTAAAGGGAGCTTGAAAGTACAGAGAGGGGGTGAGAGGTGGATGGGTTTTCCTTGCCTTTGATAAGAGTGCCTATAACATTAAAAGTCTCAAAGAGCTTTACAGAATCACTGTAAAGTGTAGTGACTATTTGTAGGCAGTCAATTTGTACTATACGGGCCGAATGGCTTGTTTCTGTGCTTGAACATTCTGATTTCCAGCCATGTTTTATAACAAAACCATTCGCTCATATAGAGTTCCTGACTCTTTGTGGTTAGAAATAAACTGTTACTGACTCTTCTCCGTTGCACCAAGCGAATAAGGAACCATCTTTGCTGAACGTGAAGCCTTTGCAATTCTTCCTGTCATCCCTGCAAAATACAAAGAGGTTACTGTCAAGTGACCTATATAGGGGCAGAATTATTCCCTATGCGTCCCAACTCCTTACTTGGCAAATCATGATAATAATAATAAATAATGCTTGCATTTGATATAGCGCCTTATCATGTTGTTGAGATGTCTCAAAGCGCTTCACAGAATATATTGCAAAGTAGATGGACTATGTATTTTGTAGGCGAAATACAGCAGCAGTGTCCCACAAACAATCTGAGGGATTATTACTCTGGGAAAGCGATTTGCCGATCGACTAACAACCGGGTTCCTAGTTACTGCAGGCAAACAGAGACGACTTAAGTAAGAACACTTGCCTAAGGTTTCGCCCTGCCCCGAATCAAACCCGGGTCCTCTCACTTGTGAGGCGAGCTTTAGTACTCTACAGTACTCCACAATACACCACCTTTCACATCGACGAGATATCTCAAAGTGCTTCACAGAGTTGACCCAGTTTCCGAGCTGAGAGTGAAGGGAACTGAGGAATTGTGGGGCCAAGGTGACGGAAAGCGCTGGCAAAAAGATACATCTTAAAGTCTTAATAAATATAAATAATAATCCTTGCATTTGATATAGCGGACTGATTAAGCATCTAAACGTGGCATTTGTTGAAAGATTCAAAGTGGCAAGTCTAAAGTATAAAGTACCTTGCAAAAGACGCATTTTCTGTATAAGCAGGAGGGCCACTGAGCATATAGACTCCTTCTGAACCTCGAACTGTAACACACAATCACAAAGTCTTCAGGCACATGTCCATTACTTGCATTGATGGCACCATTCAGTGGTGTAAACAGAGAGCAATGAGAAGGAAGGAGAGTATAATAATTTTTATTATAATAATCTTTGCACCTTATCAAGTCTTCAAGGTGTCTCAAAAGTGTGATGACTGTGTGTTTTGTGGATGAAACGCGGCAGCCAATTGTTCACAAACAATTGTGGATTGAGTAACCACATTATTATTATTTTGAAGGGATTATTACCCTCGGAAAGCGATCCGACAATCGACTAACAAGTGATTTCCTACTTACTGCTTGGTAAACAGAGGCGCGTGTGTGGAGTAAGGAAAATTGCCTGAGGTTTCGCTTTGCCCGGGAATTGAACCCAGGTCCAGACAAGATTTTAGGGTGTTGACCAAAGCCAATCAGAGATAAGTTTTGTGGGGGTTCGAAACAGCTGAATGAATCGGAGGGGAACAGCCCATCCTTACCATTCCTGGACTAAGATCTAAGATGTCAGTGAGTTTGGGATACGAAAGGTCGTGACCGCATGGAGAGGTAGTGATGTGGATCCCTGACAACTAGACCTACTTTGTCTTGGGCCACACGACTTGGTGATACAGTGCTTTGGAAATTCAATGAGTGATCTAAATTCTAACCCTTCCTTACATTTTGTCCTCCCTGTGTTATGCCATTCTCCTATCTCTTCCTGTTGTCCATTAGTTTGCATACAGAACAATGTTGATCAACAACAGTGGCGATACAATCATTAACCCAAAACTTTATAGTCTGTCTTTTCAACTGTAGATTTGAATTCAGCTCCCCCTGGAACTGCTCCCGCCAATTCCCACCGACAAGGGAATCCTTATTCTAACCTACAAATGTCTTCCAACCCTGCTAGTCCCCAACCATGTCTCTGTGATCTCCTGTGGTCCCCCTCCCCCACCTCTCTCTGCTCTGCAATCTCTGGTCTGAGTTCAACAAAAATGGGTGATGGGGTGGGTATTCTGGAAGGAAGAGAAAAATGAGTTCAACAAAACTGGACATCAAAGGTTTTTTTTGTTCTTTCCAGCGATTTCGCTGTTAAAGTGGGGGTAGCAGTGGTGAGACATCGCCAAGAATCAACATAAGCTGTTCCACATCTGTTATATCATTCATACAGCATCCAGGACAGGCAGATTAATCCTCCAATATTCACTATGCAAATTAGGTTTATTTTCCAAACTTAGCCTCAAAAAAAACCTAGCAGGTCAAGGAGCCTGAGATTGGCTCATTGCCTCCGGCCTGCCAAATCTGAACATAGACAGTGGGATGAAGAGCTCAGGGAACAAACAACACAAACTGGAGACAACTCCCAGGGTCCGGCAGTTTAGCCCCAATACTGTGTTTTGAAACACGTTTGCTTTTCATGTACTATTACTCTTTCACGAGCCAGTAGAGCAACCCATCTTACATCCATCCTTTCTAAGCAACACACAAAACACATGGGAGAAATTCCACCTGGGTTGAGGTTCTCTTCATTTTCTCAGCTTTCCGACTGTATAGAAGTTAGCAAATTGAATCGCAAAACTGTTACACTTTTTTTTGACGTTCTTTTAAAAGCTTACAGAAAACCAGCTTCAAAATGAAGGATTTTTTAAGGATTTGCAAAATTCCAAACACTCAAATTCTGAAATGCTAAGAAAATAAGAGTATATTTGAATAGAATTTATATCGATAGTTATGATTTATTGCCTTCGCTTTAGGCAATGATAATAATAATGCTTGCATTTGATATAGTGTCTTATCATGTCTTTGAGATGTCTCAAATCGCTTCACAGAATATACTGTAAAGTGAATTGACTGTATATTTTGTGGGTGAAACACAGAAGCCAATTGCGCACAGCAGTGTGCCACAAACAGGTGTAGATTGAGTGACCAACTTATTTATTTCTTTAAGGAATTATTACCCCCAGAAAAGCAATCCGCCAATCGACTAACAACTGGTTCCTACTTACAGCTAGGTAAACAGAGGCATGTGGAGTAAGGAAACTTGTCCAATATTTCGCCCTGTTGGAAGTCCTCCCGATGTGAAAGGCGCTATACAAATGTAATTTTGTTGTTGTTGTTGCTGCTGGAAATCGAACCCAGGTCTCTCACTTGTGAGGCGAGTGCTCTAACCACTGAGCTACAGGACTCCACGGGTCAATGTCAGGGGTAACAGAGTATTGAATTGTAACACTCCTTTGATATTCCATGTAGTATACTGAATATTCCAATTACTGCTTTTCCACATGGTATGTTGTTAAGAATACTGGGATCTGATGCTTTGAGACACTGAAGTGAAATCATTCACAGCACACCAGCACTGTCAAGTTATTAGCAATAATTCATATCTACTCTATAGGCCCCTCTAGCTATGTCAACGGCTGACACCTTCCCACCACTATACAATACTGAAAGGTATTATGTACTTTGAATAACTACCCACATTATAATGTTAAAACAGTTGAAGGCTTATGTCGGGACTTCAGTCTAAGCTGACAGTTCAGTGCAGTACTGGGAGAGCGTTGCATTGTGAATGGTGCCGTTCTTCGGATGAAATGTTAAACCAAGATTCTTCTGCTGTCTTCAAGTGGATATTAAAAGATCCCATGCCGCTATTTGAGAGGAGATGGAGTTTCTCCTAGTGTCCTGGCCAACAATCCTCCAGATTAATTGGTCATCCACCTCATGGCTGTTTGAGGGACTTTGCTGTGTGCAAAATGTCGGCTTTGCCTACAAAATCAGTCAATACACATTATAGTAAATACCGTGAAGTGCTTTGAAATGTCTCAATGTTATAAGTATTATAAAAATGCAAGTTAATTTTCTATTTCCTTCACCCTTTCAACATGCTATATGTGAAGAAAATGGGCAGACAATCTCCTTACAATGAACTGTAAGGTTGTTCTACAACTAAATAGAAAATAGTGCCTAGTTGCAACAACCCCCCTCCCCCACCCCGTTACTGTGGAAAAGCACTGAGCTTCATCTATGCTCACACTGTTGATTTGCGCAGCTTTAGAATAAAGTGCTGGAATGAATTACCTGCACAAGTTCAGGTTCTATTACAATTCTAATTTTCTAAAGCATACACCTGTGAATCTCACACCTGCCTGCACCACAATGCTTTCATTCTCTTTGTACTAAAGGAGCTCCATTAGTAATTCATATAATATATCACTATCATTAGTATCTCTTTTGCCTTTGGCGAAGACTAGCTTGCTGCCTGTAACTTGGTTAAAGTTGATAATGTATGCCTTTGCCCAAAAAGGCATTGCTACGTTTGATGTTCTCGCTTGTGGCTCACATTTCTCTGCGAGAAAATCAAACAGTTCAAATTCTTTAATGTTTGCTTTTAAAAAGGTAATGCTATCATTTATTAACTCTCAGGCATGGCTTTAGAAAGCTGATATTGCTACAACTCCCGGACCTTTGCCACATCCACGCCAAACACCACTGGGGATTACCCTGCTCTATTTACACAGCAGCCAGAACTCAGCAAATTCCTAAATACAGTCTTAATTTTTAAGCCAATTTTCTGTAAATTTCTTTCAAGAAACTACAAAAAGCTAAGTTCAGAGTTGAAACTGAATTCAACAACTTGCTAAATTCCAGGCATTCTGATACAGTTAAGCTGGATCCGGTGGAATTTCTGCCTATGCACCAAGCAAAACCTTATCATAAAGAACTCAAAGCTCTGGACTAGAAAAGACCACTTGGCTGAGACATGCTCAAGTTATTCACCAGATGGCTATCTAATTAATTCCTTCTTGAATGATAAAATCAGACTTTATGAGGATCTGAGCCTTTTTTTTGTTCTTTTCTATTTGGATATATCTATTTGTGCATTTCTGCCCAGGTAGTGTAGTTGACATATTCACCAGTGTGTAAATAGTGTAATCTATAATAATAATAATCCTTGCATTTGATATAGCACCTTATCCCGTCTTCTAGACGCCTCAAAGCGCTTCAGAGAATAAACTGTAAAGTGAATTGACTGTATATTTTGTGGGCCAAACGCCCCTGTTTACCTAGCAATAAATTGGAACCCGGTTGTTAGTCAATTGGTGGATTACTTTCTGGGGGTAATAAACCCTTCAAAAAAAAATAATTTGGTCACTCAATCCATGACTGTTCGTGGAACACCGCCGTGCGCAATTGGCTGTCGCGTTTCGCCCACAAAATATACAGTCAATTCACTTCACAGAAAATTCTAGGGAACGCTTGAGACGCGATAAGGCACATCAAATGCAAGGATTGTTATTGTACGATGGGGTCAGCGGCGTATGTTCCTCTGCCGCCCAAACGAAAACTGTACATTACACAGCACGTGGTTCGGAGATTCTTAAGCAAAGCAATGCCTTTCTGACCAAACAGAAACTCTCAGTTTGTGCGCTCTCTTGTTTGTCGGCTCAGACTTTTTGCATTTTCTGCACCGCAGCCTCGGCTGTGTCTCTGAGCCAAGTCTGTGCACACACTCATCACTTCCCTTCCCACACTCGATGTGAACTGGAGTCTAGTTTTTTTGCGCATTTATCTCGTTAAGAAACCTGGGCTCAGGGGCCCTCTGACAGGGGAGAAGGCGAGGGCTCCCCGGACAGCCCGGGCCCCAGGGGCCACATGACCCTGTGCGCGGTGACAGGGATGGGGTTGGGGGCGGGGGGAGGGGGGTAGCAGAGGGCGCGGGGAGCTGTGGAGGGGCCGCGCGGGGTGGGGGAGGGAGGGGGGGGGGAGGCAGCGGGGAGAAGGCGAGGGGTCGCGGGCGGACGGGCGGGGAGGGAGGAGAAGCCCTCCCAGTCACTGACCTGCCAGCAGCGGCGTGGAGGCCGCCATCTTTCGCCGGAAGTGGTGGGGTTGCGGGTCAGAGGTCACCGCCGAGTAACACGTGGCCCCCCCGAGAGGCGCTTCACCACCGGCACCGCCCGCCCGCGCGCGCGCGCGCGTCCACCTCAGTCAAAGCGGAGCCCCCACCGGCCATTGCTCTCAAAGATAAACATCCCCTTCCTCCCCCCCAAACCCAGAAGGTTCAGCGCTGAAGCCCCTGTTGTGTGTGTGTGTTGCTCGGTGGTAGTGGGGAAGGGGAAGAGTGTGTCTGTGGTGGTGGTGGTGGAGTGGGACTATTTTATTGCGGGCGGAGGCGGCAGCGGGGGAGTGAGCAGTGTGTTTCCGGTGCCGTGTGCGCGCGCGTGTGTGTGTGTGTCCGCGCGCGCGCGCGTGTGTGTGTATGTGTGTGTGAGCGCTCGCGGTGAGAGGGGCGGCCACCGGGAGAGAGAGAGAGAGACACGGACAGACAGACGCCGAGAGAGAGGTGAGGTCCTCACTGCCCCCCCCCCCCCCCCGGGCCTGAGGGGCCTCGGTCCCCGGCCCCCACCCACCAGGCCCCGGCGGCTCAGGGCGCCCGGTGTATGGGTCAGGGCGCCGCTGTCCCCCCCCACCCCACCCCTCCCCCTCCGTGTAAAGGTAGTGTAAACCTGTCAATGCTCACTCACCCTTCAGTGTCTTCACGGGGGGGCAGAGGGATTCCTGTTATTATTGTTATGAAGTTAAAATCATATTACTATTGTTGTCAGAGCACAGACTGATGGTGGTGGTGGGGGGTCCGTCTTCGGACTGTTTTTGTTTGGAAACGCAGCGAGTTCGGGTCATGGGTGACTCTTACTGTTGAGGGTTTGGGTGGGGGCGGTGGGGGGTGGGAGGGGGCGGTGGGGGGGAGAGCCCCTGTGAGACTTGTGTTCCCCCCGCGGGTGGTTTGTTTGGTTGTAGGTGGTGGGGGGTTTGGGGGCTTTTGAAGTTGGTGGGACGTCAACCTGGTAAGTCAGTCCCCCCCCACCACCGTCCCCCCCACCCCTCCCCGTCCCCCACCCCCTCCCCGTCCCCCCCCCACCCCATGGACTGCTGTGTCCTGTTGGGCTACTGTCAACATTTGGCTGTTCCACTCGTGTGTGTGTTTCGTGGTCCTTTGTTCCCTTTAGAAGATTGTCTGCAAATGCTCTCTTTTTTTTTTGTTCATCCGCAACGGGGGGCAGTGGTCGGGAAGGTGGGACGGGACGTGTCTGCGGCGCTCCCCGGGGGGGGGACGGAGAGGAAGGGGTCGGCCTCGCTTCAGTGCCACTTTGGTGATGTGGCTGAGACCAGGACCGCTCCATACGTGGAGCTCTCCCCACTCTGTTCGTTGCGAGAATGTTTAGGGTTCAGCCAAGTTTAGTGGGGCAGGTGGGCATCATCTCGCACGGTTTTTACCTGAACTGAACAGTGCTGAGCAGAACAGTACAGGTCTTAGACTATTTATACTTCGATTGGATCTGCAGAGCTATTTATCTCTCTCTCCCTCTATGTATAGAGAGAGTGAAGTCCTGATAATTTAAAGTTCTGTTGGTAACACGACGTTAAAGTCTGTTGCCTTTTGTAAGTTTTACCCATTCCCAATAGTTGTATTGGCGAAGTCATTGGTGACTTTTCTCTTATGATGCGGTGTTGTGCACTAACTTTAATTTGTAAAGATAACTGATACATTCTTGGTGGGGGGCGGCGGTGGGGGGAGAAATGTTCATCAACATGTTAGAGTGGGGCATTTCTACACAGACATCAAAAGCTCACCAGATGTGCTTCGAAATGATGTTGTTTTTTTTTAAAAAAGTTTAGAATCTACAGGATGTAAAGAAATGTTTTGTGGAACAGATGACTGAGCTGTAGGTAAAAGCATGAGCTGTTTATTCTACCAGAGCACTTGTTTATAGTATTCTGCTGGCTCTTATGAATATTTCAGCCCTTGTTTTGGACAATGTTTTTAGTTTTAAGATATTTCATCCGTTTACTGAGGATTGGGATCACTGTGAGCCACAAACTATTTCTTCAGTAAGAGTCCTTAAACTTTACAGCAGTTTATTGGACTTCCTGCTTGTGCTGGAAGCTTGAGGGCATTTGCATATATTGCAGTTGTAGAGCAAATGGAGCCACGTCAGCTATGTTGCAATAGAAGAGACTAGGGGTTAGGATCCTGTTGAGCCCTCCCAAAGGCAAGTGTGGTTGGGTCAGGGAGTGGGGCTTTCCCAATTAAACCTAATTATGTTCCATAAGTGGGAGCTTAGTTTGGTCCTCGGGCAGCCCTTAACCCCATCCGATTACTTGCATCATAACCACCTGAATAAGTTAGGATCGCCTCCCATTAATGAATCCTTGAGCAAATTCAGATTTGGGGCATCCCTACCCATTCCAGCCCTGAGAGCTGGAGTGCTGCCAGGTGCACAGCCAAGAGTAACTGATGACAATCCTTGTATTTGATATAGTGCCTTATCACATCGTTGAGGCGTCTCAAAGTGCTTCACAGGATCTACTGTAAAGTGTAGAGAGCTGTTCCCACAGGATAGTTTCGGAGTGGAAGAGTAAATAAACTTTTTAAATTTTCTTGCAGAAGTTATTCAAATTATTTTTCCTTTTGCATTTATTGCAGGGAGAGTATCAGCTCAGCAGCAAAATGGTGGCCAAACAGAGAATCCGCATGGCCAACGAGAAACACAGCAAAAACATCACACAGCGAGGCAATGTCCCGAAAAGCTCCGTAAGTCAGCGCTTGCTTTAGGTTTCAATCTTTAATAAATCAGGGTTTCCCACAGGCTTTTGGCTAAAGGTTTCATGTATGACTTCTGACTTTGCTGATTTACTACAGTTTGACTGAATGCGTTTAGATTATAAAACGAAGAATCAGCCAGATTATAGAGTTACAGAAAGAGAACGTACAACCCATTGTGCCTGTGCAGCTCTCTGATAGGGATCTCGGTTCAGTCGCATACTTCTGCTTCTGATTGCTGTCTCGTGATCTCTGGTAGAAAATGACTTGGGTTGAGAATGGGATTGGGTTCAACTGATTTTTTTCCCCCCTCCCTCATTTTTGCTCACAAAATAGTCACTACACTTTACAGTAAATCCTGTGAGGTACTTTGAAGTGTTACAATACTTTGTCTAAGACATAATTATCAAATGCAAAGATTATTATATTATTATCCAGTCTAATAGTCCACAGCTGAGAGTGTGAACAGCCTTCACCACTCTCTGGTTTTTCATCCTGTGGCCCAGTAATATTATTTTCAGTTTGTTTGAAAAATTCACAGGGAACTATTAGATTAATATTTATCTCTTAGCACTATAATTGACTGCACTTCAAATCCCATGTAGGATTTGCTATGCAGTGGCCAAAAGCTACTGCCACACACTTTTCAGGAAGCATTAAAGTACCTTGACAGTAAGTAACCGCTCCAGTGAAAACAACATCTAGCAAGTGTCTATGTAGACAGGATAATTAGTGGGTGACAAGTCTAATTTGAATTCCTATTGCTTGGATTGCTCTCAGATATATCCTAATGGCCTTGTCACTCTTGTTTAGTATCATTACTCTTACAACCAGAGGGAATTTACAGTACAGACAGCAGCCATTCACCACCTCTGCAATGTCGCCCGGCTCCGACACTGTCTCACACCACAGGCTGCCAAAATCCTCAAACGCCTTCATTACATCAAGGCTCGACTATGCAAACTCACTGTTTGTTGGCCTCCCCAAATCCTCCCTCCACAGGTTGCAGATCATCCAGAAATCTGCAGCCCATCTCCTCTCCCGCACTAGGCTCCGCGACCCCATCCTCGCCCAACTTCTCTGGCTTCCCATCACACAGAGGAGACAGTTCAAGATCCTGGTCCTCACCTTCAAATCCCTCCATGGTCTTGCTTCCCCCCCCCCCACCTCTCAGACCTCTTAACCCAATCCTATCATCATGTTCACTCCCTCCGCTCAGCGGGTTCTGGGCTACTTCACGTCCCCCGCCTTGCTCGCCCCACTATCGGCGGGCGGGCATTCCGTCACTCTGCACCCACCCTCTGGAACTCCATCCCACAGTCCCTTCATCTCACCACCTTCAAGACCCTCCTCTTCAACGGTGCTTTTGATTTCCCTGCTTCCCCGCCCTCCCCCACCTTGACCCTCAGGTCGGGTCCGAAACTCTGTCCAGCGCCTTGGGAAGTTCGCCCAACGTGAAAGGTGCTATATAAATGTAATTTTGTTGTTGGAGCTGCTGTTTGAAAGAGCAATCCATTCACTCCCAATTTACCTGCTTTTTTCTACCCCACCATCCCATAACCTTGCAGTTTATTCCTGTTTTAGTCATTCCTCTACTTCCCTCTGGACTAATGAATGGAATTTGTAAAAATGATTCAGGCTAACAGTCCCCAACCAGTGAAAGTTGTTAAGACTGTGTTTTCCCCCTGGAGATACTGTATTACTGAGCTATTCCAGCCTCCACGTTGTAGAGAGTTCCTCATTCTCCTCCCAGGCTACAGGAGATGTGGCTGTTTTGATTATGAAACGGGTATTTTTATTTTAATGTAAAGATTTGTAGGCTGTCATTTCATTTAAAAAGGAATGAGGTTTGTTCATTTAAATCAGAAAGATGAACTGTTGCTTGAAGTTGTTCTCGATGAATCAGATTGATCTAAAAACGCACTAAATTATAGGGGCATGGGGAAAGGACCTGTAAATGGCCTGAAAGGATTGCTCTTAAAAGAGCAGCACAGATGCAATGTTTGCTGGAAATGTCTATGGAATTGGCCACATTTTGTTCAACTGAGAAGATTATTGTACATGGCTCGAACATGTAACATTAAAAGTGCTTCCTTTGATTTCAGAAGGCTGCGATAGACGAAAAGTCATCTGTTGGTCCCTGGCTATTGGCACTTTTCATTTTTGTTGTTTGCGGATCAGGTAATTGTTTACTTTGCTGAAGTCATGTAAGAAACTCCTAGCGGTAACAGTCAGTACAGGAGAAGCAACTGCCATCTGTGCATAAAACCTGCTTTACAGGGCTCCAGGTGATCACTCTTGAGCTTCTTATCAGGGTGAGCTGCGTTAGAACTTTTGTCCGAAATGTTAAAGTGATAAAGAGCATTTTAACACCGCCCTTGTGATGGTTTATTCTTATACCTTCTATTTAATTCAAAATCAGCAGTTTTATTACAAAATACCTTATCGAGATTGATTTGAGAATTGGCCTCTTTCTCCAGGTCTCTTCCCATTTCCCGTTCTATTCCATCGCTGATCCAATTTGACTCTGGTCTGGTAATAGTTGGATCTGTCATTCGGGTCTTCAATCTGACAGTTCATGTTTGGGTCATTGGTTAGGGTGTTCACCACTTTAATTGGAACTCATTCCTTCCACTCACTGAAGTCAGCGACAAGAACTGAAGATAAAAGTTTCTTACAATTGGGGCCCAGAGCTAAAGTGTTCACACCAAGGAATTAACTCTAAACTCTCGATTTTGTTCACCTCCCCCTCCACAGTAGGGTAGTCATCAGCCTCTGGTTCACACTTTCTCCTGATCCCAGCCAACTCCTGGCTAACTCTGCTCTCCAGGGCCAACAGAGTACCAACAAGGTTTGGTTACACAACTGGTTAATGTCCACCTGACTTGGCAGCACATTTCTGTTTGGGGGAATTTGCTTGTTTTTCATTTTTATTTCACTATCTTATCTACACATGACTTTAAATGTAACTGACAATCAAACTAGCTCAGATCTCAGTTACTTTAACGTTCTGGCCCAGGTGCCACGTTTCCCAACAAGATCAGCCCCAGAGTGTGGCGGCTTCTGCACTAGCTCCTGAATTAAGACCTTTTATTAAAATAAAATCTAAGGTTGTTTGTAAAATATTGCTTTGACTATAGTCACTTGTACAAATTCTGTGTTTCGCAACTGCCCTTGCAGTAGGTAATATTTATGTGGGAATGTTCCCCATAATTTGGGTGGATAATCTTAAAATTAGAGTTAAGCTATTTAAAAATGAGATCAGAAAAAAAAAATTCACACAAGAGTTGTGAGAGTGTGGAACGCACAGCCCAGGAAGGGCAAAATGGGATGTTTAAGAATGACAGATACAGATACTTTGAAAGCAAATGCATTGAGAGGTGTGGAGGAACAGAATTAAAAGAGCTGCCATGATGTAATAAACTGGCAGAGTAGGCTGGGCGGGCTGAATGGCCCTTTCCTCGCGGTGTTCCTAAATTCAGACACTGCAGTAAGGTTGAGGGGAGCTTCAGAGCAGGGAATCTTGTTCTCATTCTAAATTTTTAAAAAAAATAAACTTCTGATTTGTTCAAACTATGATCTGTGCAGGTCAAATTGACCCTGCTCCCAGCTCTGTTTTATTGCACTTTGCACTGCCTGGGCTGAACAATCCTCCAAATAAAGTTGGTCTTCCATTTTGTGACTAGTTATGGGACACTGCTGTGTGCAAATTGACTGTAGTGTTTGCCTGCAATTGCCTACAGTCATTACACTTAACAGTAAATCCTGCAAAGTGCATTGAGATGTCTTTGTGTGATAGTGTTATCAAATGCAAGGATTATTTGACTTTTTTCTTTATGTCACTCCACAGCTATTTTCCAGATTATTCAGAGTATCCGCATGGGCATGTGAATGGACAAAGCTTCGATTTCTGTACCTTTCAGTGTCTCGCTGTTAATTCCAGCTGTGAATCCAACCATTCCAATACCTCCTTTGTTCTGCAAAACAATGGATTTTACAGAATGAATCTGTCTGTAGTTTTCTGAAAAAAAAACTTAATTCATGGCGTTGCTAAAAGTCTAGTTCATTCCTTCTCGTGTCCCAAGGAAGCCGGGCTTGGTAAAGCTATCCAGCAGTTAATTTTGTATTTTAATCAGGGAGACTTGCAGATGGTTTGTAAGTTTGTATTTAATATGTGAATATTTTATCATATATATCGTATATATGGTTAATATGTAGGTAAGAACCCTGCTTTTGTGTAGTTAAAACATTTTTAATCCTCCCCAGCTGTAAATTGTAGAGGAGATGGTTTTGTTGCCTGTCCACTTTGAGATACAAAATGCGCATCTTTCTAAATTAAACTTTGTAATTCCAGAAAAGTGCCTTCCTTTGTATATTAAACAGCACATCATTGTAGGATCACAGATGGAAAGGCATTGCTGATTTGTTTTAGTGTAATAGTCCCGTGTGCTGTCCAATGAATAGTCTGTGATTGGTTAAATATTGTCCTGTTCAAGCTAGGAAGGACATCTTGATCATCAATGATATCTTTAATCTCTTGCAGTTGCCAACGCGTATAACAAGCACAGCTGGCCTTTATTGGGGGGGGGGTAGAAAAATTATGCAATTGAAACGCCCAGTCTGTGGCTAGGGGCACGGATTGGCAGGGTGCTGAACCTTTCCAGACCTGAGCCCAGACAGTGTCCTGGCACGTGGGCGATTTGAGTGCACATGACCTAATATAAAAAGCATCTCTACTTTTCACTCTCGTGTCTGGAAACCCTTGTTGTAAATCACGGCATGCTAACATCCTGTTTCTTGACTACCTGGATGCTGCTTTGTCTGATCAGGACCACTTGATTGCATTTCTAACTGTAAGTGATTGCAGCATTTGTCACCCAAATAAATATATTTTTGCTTGATTTGCTCATGATATGTTTTTAATTCCTGCAGTATCTTTGGGAGTATTTATCATACTTTAAATTGAAGTTTCTCCCAAGAGTAGGGTGCTCGTCAGAAATCAGACTTGCACTACACAACATGCCAGCATTTACTTTGTATTTCAGATTGAATTTGGCAATTTTTTAAAGAAGTTTTAATTTGATGTCTGTCTGCTGTCGACTCAAGTTTGTAACAGTGTGTAAATACTATAGTTCTATTGTTCTTGCTAACTTTCTTGCTGATTCTGCATTTCTCTTTATTGAAATTTAAAAAAAGACAATCGAGATAATTGAAGGATCTGCCAAATTCTGCACTATCAACTCTAAAAATAATCTCAATTTGTGAGAAGGTGGTGGATGTCCTTGTGTCTGAAGTGATGAGATCCACTCTGTTGCCCTGCTTTCTCTGTTCCTGCCCCATGGTCAGCTTTTCTGTCCTATCTTCAGCTGCCTCTCCCTCATCTCACATGAAACCTGTGTCTTTCATTCCCACTCAGCTGCTGCTTTTCATCCACTGTTAGTTGACATCAGCAACCTCTCCCTTTTTTATTCTGATTGTCCAGCATTTCTACCTCATCCACCAAAAATGTAACTATAACCTCATCCATTGTCAGTCAGTCCGTGAGCCAAAAATAGAAGTCACTGGGAACACTCAGCAGGTCAGGCAGCCTCTATGAAGAAAGGAAAGCGAGTCAAAGTTTTGGGTCCACGACCCTTTGTCTGAACTGGGGCATATTGGGAGGGAGAGACTTTTAAAGATTAACAGAAAGAGTGGAGGCAGGGTAAGGAAGACAAAAGAGAAAATGAGATAAGGGATGATGGGTTAAAGAGCTGTTAATAATACAAAACAGGTGGGGGGAATGATTCCATGATATTCTGTGAAGCGCTTTGAGACGTCTCAAAGACGTGATAAGACGCTATATTAAATGCAAGGATTATTATTCATTACAGACTTGCATCTGAGGAATGGGATTGGGTGATCATTGTGCTTCTTGCCTGGGATTAGATGTGTTCCTTTGGTCAGTGTTAGAGCAGCTTGTGACCGAGCTGCTGATTGCATCTGTACTGGGAACAACTTTGTTACACGATGTTCTAACTTTGAAGTGGTGCTTAGATCTCTGGGTTACTGTGTTCACGGCTGGAATCTGAAATGTGTGTTCTGAAACGAGCTGTTGTGATGTCAGTTTTGTGGAATCCATTTCATAGTACTGGACAGATATTATACACATAGTGCTGCTTTTCCATCAAATTATTACATGGAATTATTTTAGTCAAATAACTGTTTGACTACCCCTCCCCCTGACCATTTCCCCCCAGCTCGGGTCCTGACCCAACTGTACAGCGCCTTGGGACGTCCTCCCGACGTGAAAGGCGCTCTGTAAATGGAATCTTGTTGTTTGGGGTAAGTCCATTCTCACGTGATATTGAGAAGCCTTGTGTGTAAACCGGCACTGGTTACCGGTCCAGGTCAGTCACAGCATAAGTTAGACAGAGTAAAGCTCCCTCTACACTATCTGTCCACACTCCCAGGTCAGCTACAGCATAGGTTAGAGACACAGTAAAGTTCTGAGAGTAGGAAATTCTCTGAATCCAGGGTCTCGGTTTAATGGCTCACTGTATCAGACTGGCAGCTGCATGATGTGAGTTCAAAGTCCTGACAACTTTCAGCAGCTGTTTGATTGGCTGGTAATCTTGCATTAACAAGGTTACAAAAAGTTGGCCAAAAGTCTTGACCTTCGTAGCAGGCCTGATAGCTTAGTTGTTTTTCAGTAGCAAAGCGTTCCCTGGGTATGAGCATACTTCACAGCTTCAGAACTGTTCAAGTCAGGTCCAGAGCTGAGAACAGATGCTCCTCGCCTGCCCACTCCACCATTGGTGGTCTTGAACCAAACTACTCACAGTGCAAGTTTATCCATCAAACGTTTAACAGCCCATAGCAATGCTGAACTTGAGTCAGGAGGCTTATCTTCGGAGGTGAATTGGTAACCCCCACCCCCCCCAAAAAACAAAACCTGTCCACCAGGAATAGCAGCAAAGAAAGCGCTCTGATCATTGTTTAATCTCCCTCAACTCCTCCATTCTTTTCCCTGCCCCAACCCACTTCTAGCTCCTACTGCTCCTGGAAAAAAAGCATCCTCCCCACTGCCCTAGTCATCTGAACTCCTACCCTTTGGGCTTCCTTCTGTAACAACCTACCCTCCCTGGTTACTTTCCTCTAAAACTCATTCTCTGCCACTCTTGACACCCTTACCCCTGTCACCTCCCACATTGCCTCCTACTCTCGCAAGTCACCCTGGTACACCAGACACCTCTGCTCCTGCAAGGCACAGGTGTGTGGTGCTGAATGTTCCTAGCTCAAATTCCAACATAACAGTCCATGGGTAGATCTGGGTGGAGCACATCAAAACCTACTGCACCGCCAACTCCTCCACTAATTTGTCCTATTCCAAAATTATGATCAAGGTAAGGACAACCTCAGGCTCATCTTCAGAAACCAGCTCTTCCTTCATGATTCTGTTTATTCTTACCTTTCAACTCATCTCTACTTTTTATCTACTGATAGCTTCTCCAGCCCTCACACCGTCATGTGCAGTGTTCCTCAGTCCTTGGCCATCCCCTCTTTAATACTTGCCTGCTTGGTTATGTCATCCGCAGGCATGGGGTTAACATCCACTCAATCTCCTTGCATCCAGTCCCACTACTGTATGGACGGATTGGCTGTCAAGACATTCAGTCTTGGAATGAGTTAACTTTCTCCAGTTGAATAGACAACACAGAGGCCGTCCTGCTTGGCTCCCGTCAGTGCCTCACCTCAGGCACTGACAGTATCATGTAAGCAGTCTCCATCTCACCGAACCAGGATGGAACCTTGGTGTCATTTGACCCGTAACTGTCCTTTAAACCTTAATCTGTGGAATGACCCATTCTGTCTTCCTTCACTTCTACAACATTGGCAATCTCTGCCACTGCATCTCGCCTCAGGCTGCCAAGACCTTCATCACCTCCAGGCTGGACTATAACTCCCTGCTCGCCCATCTTCCCAACTCTTCCTTCCGCAAGTTGCAGATTATTCAGAACTCTGCAGCTCATGTCCTCTTCTGCACTAAGCTCCGTACACTGGCCTGTTCCAAGCCCTCAGTCCTGCCCACCCCACAAGCGGTGGCCAAGGCTTCAACTTTTCCGCCCCCACCCTTTGGAACTCCATCCCAGAGCCCCTCCACCTCAAGGTCCACCTAACTATTTTTAGCCACCCCCACCATCTCAAATGCAAACCCTTAACTGACTAGCACCTTGGAACGTCCTCCTGCTGTAAAAGGTGCTGTATAAATGCAATCTGTTATAAATAGCTCGACCGTTCTAGTGGGCACCAATAGCCCTTTCTCAATACTTTTCTTTCCTCCTTTTTCCACCATTTGCAGGAAAAACCCAGACAGAAAGCTTCAATCATACACCTTGTTGTTGCTGGCATCAATAAGGGTGCAAAAGATCAGAATAAACCAAGATTAAGTCAATAACGCAATCAAATTCCTTAAGAACCTATCACTACTTGGACTGTCCATTCCAGATATTTGCCAATTTCTGCAGAACTACATCTCAACTGTCATCTCCCCCTCCAGCTCAAGTATAACTCTTGTACATTTTTGGACACTGTTAAATATTAGTTTGGTTTATCCACACCTTTGTTGGATCTATTCCTCTCTAGTGTGAACATTTAGTCCAGTCTGATCCTACCCTCGCATTGTCTACCTCCACACAAACCAGTAATCAAAGCCCAGACCTTCTGCGCTGTAAGACAGCAGAGCTCTGCAGTGGGAAATGAGCCCATCCTAATAAGACAAGACAAAAGAGGAGCAGAGCTCCTAAACGTGGCCACTGGAATCCATGCTTTAATTGAACCACTCGGGACAAAGAGGACATCTGAATCGGCACATGTTGCATTTATTAAATACAATAAAATCTGCAATGTAACAAAACTTTATGCATATGAAATTCAGAACACCATTTAAATGAACAAAAGATATCTCACTCCATTTCCTGACTAGTAATTCACACTAGCTCTAGCTTGAACCCAACAGCTGTTCTTTAGTGTTCATTGGACACTTGTTCACAGACTAACTTGTTACAGTAAGGAGGGCTCAGTAAAACGTGAGGTAAGAGAATGGTTCAGAGAGAGAGAGGGGGTAGGGGTAGGGGGGTCATGCAGAACATGCTGAAGAGTCTAAAGGAAAAAAAACACTTGTCAAAGCTGAAAAAAATCAAAACTAAATAAAAACTATATAGAACGTCCGATACAAAATAAATGAATTCAGTTACACAGCTTTGCTTCTTTGGTTACAAAGTAGGTTGAACAATTTCACAGCTTTTTATTCCTCCCACCCAAACATCGCACTCTCGGTGGGAAAAAAAGAGAATCTCCCCTTTTCTTTTTAATAAACAAAAAAGGTCAGAGAAAAATCATGGCAATTTTTTTCCCCAGAAAAAGAAACCAGCAACAGAAATGAGCAGTTTTATTTGTTTCTTCATTAAATGCCTAAATATTATTTTCAAGGTTTGTTGGGTCACAGCCTCTGCTGACCACTTGTATATGCTATGGTCTTATAATACTTACAATCTATACAAAATTTACATTCAAATTTGGGATCCAACTATTGTAGAACATCCCCATAGTGTTAGAACCTCTAAGCCAGAATTTTTATTTTATTATTACCTATATATTTTTTAAACTAATATATGCAATCCCAACCAGCACTCGCGTTTATCAGTAATCTTATAATCTTTCATTTTTTTTTAAACTTACACAAAAAAAATTCTGTGACATTGTTCATTTACATATGAAAATAGCAGCCCTGTAATAAATAAACACAAACAGGAAATGAAAAAGTCGTGGATGCAAAAGGTTACTAGAATGGTGGCTCTTTCAGAAAGAACTGTTAACAAGGTCTTAATGTTAAACAGTGAGGCGCGAATGACACAGATTCCTATTTTTCTTAAGAAAAAAAACCTTGGTAAGCCACATCAATGTAGGAATATTCAGTCCTCCATCAACCTGATGAAATCAGCCTGCCTCCCACTGGACACGAGTCTCCTCCCAACAGAACACCTCCTGCGTGTGTTCTCCACACTATCATGGATGCCGTCCCGATTGCCTTGACGCGACGCCGGGTGTTGAAAGCTCTTGCGGATGATTGTCTAATACTGAGAAGGCCAACGAGCAAAACACACACTTTGAAGCCATGGCTAATTTCACTGCCCGCGTAGTGCTAAACACCATCAGTGGCACACGGGGAGAGAGAGAGAGAACGATTGGGTTGTAAAAAGATTTCCTTTTCCTATGCAGGCGAGCGCGTTTCATGCAGAAGAGACGTTAGGCTGTGGAGGCGGCTGTGTCTGTTGTGTGCTTGCTGGAGCTTGTGCTACTGCAGTCGGTTGCTGTGGTTGGGAAGTGCTACTGGGGTTGGATGGTTGGATTTGGAGCTGGGACAACTGGTCATTGTTCGTGAGTGACTTTAACAGCGAATTCTCTCGTTCTAGTGAACAGTTCCTTTCAATCAGTTCTTTGATCTGTTCCTTCAAGACTTCCACTTCTTCTCTGACTGCATACATCAGATGGCTTTTCACTAAATCCTGCAATAAATAAAAGGTATTCAAACAGGTTTGGAAGTTGTTCTGTTGTCTAATTGGGTAACCAGGTAACATCTCCCCTAATTTTTCTCTAACAATCCTCAGACTGTCACCCCTTCCCAACGAAAGGAAATTGCCACCCCCCCACCTAACCGGTTTTAAACCCCTCAATCTCATCCCCTCTGGTCCCGTGGAAAAACTCCCAGTTGAGCTCATGCATATTATCACACATGTGGTTTCATCCCAGTGAATCTGTCCTCTTCTTCACACACTAACTGTGATCCAACCAATCCTATACAATTCCAGCATCGCTTCCCCACTTTTACATTGCATGTCCATGTTTATAAACCCCAGAATTTCATTTGCCTTTTTGAGAGCTTGCTCTCCACAACACTGACTGCATCCTCAAGTGACCCACATGTTCCCCGATTCCCCTTGAATTCTTTACCTTTGTGGCTATGAAACTTTGCTTGACATTCCCTGCTGGACTTTCAGACCCACCTGACTACAGCTCCCAATCAACAGCCCATGTAGCTCCCAGCTGCAGCCCCTGGTGAGGACAGAATCAGACTGAATAGATTGCTGTGACTTACCATTGCCTGTTCGATTTTGTTATCGATGGCGACCACACTAGCTCCTGAAGCACTGTAAGATATAAAACAGGCACACGGTGAAGTGCTGCATTCACACAAACCTTTCTAAGGCTGGTTTCATCCATTTATTATAATAATAATAATCCTTGCATTTGATATAGCGCTTTTCACGTCGGGAGGACGTCCCAAAGCGCTTCACAGAACACACTGTAAAGTGAATTGACTGTATATTTTTGTGGGCGAACGCGGCAGCCAATTGCGCACAGCAATGTCCCACAAACAGTCGTAGATTGAAAATGACCAATTTATTATTGTTTTTGTTTTGGAGGGATTATTATTAGGCTCTGTGTGGAGTAAGGAAACTTGCCCAAGGTTTCGCCCTCTGCCTGGAATTGAACTCAGGTCTCTCGCTTGCAAAGCGAGTGCTCTAACCACTGAGCTACAGGACTCCTATCATCTCCTATCATCCTGTATCATCTACAGGATTTATCATCTCAGCAGAGGATTGATCGGTGACGGACTCAGAAATAAGATATCAAAACCTAAGAGTTTAGTCGGTAGCTACACATTGAGGAATGCTGAGCTGAGGTCCTACACCGGTTGTCTTAAAACTTAAAGTGAAATCAAGCCATAGTAACACTGATCCTAGTCTGCTACACTTCATGATTTGAGCTGCAATAGGAGTACAAACAGCCTCAGTGGGAGACAAGCCCTGTTCAGCAGCGATACAAAATCCAGTCACATTTTCTCCCCCTTTAACACAGAGCAGACAACTGCATCCACCAGTGGCAATTGGGGAGAATTGCATCTCCATATATAAGACAAGTGTATAAAACAGTTTAAGTGTCCAGGTTAGTCAAAAAAGCAAACTTCACACACTAATGAGCATTTCATTTGGCATAGCACACCGCTCACATCATCCAAAGTGCTTCACAGGATATAAAGTGGAGCGTCTGTGCAATTGAGTCAAACACAGCAGCCAATTTATAATAATAATAATCCTTGCATTTGATCAGAGTGCCTTATTTATCAGTTCATTGAGGTGCCTCAAAGCGTTTCACTCTGAGGTGAATTGACTATATTCTTTGTGGGCGAAACGCGGCAGCCAATTGTGCACGTCTGTGTCCCACAAACAATTGTGGATCGAGAACCAATTTTGCAGGCAGCAACATCCCACAAAGAGCCACAAATATATCAAAAGTGAATTCATGCTGTGCATTTTGCATCCGTAGACAGTCAGGAAACGGATTCATGTTGTAACAGGTAGGTGGTGCAAGGCATCACTTGATTAGCACCTCCATGAAACCAGTCCTTCTGGTCACGTGTGTCTGATCACATACAAAGTACAACATGCAAGATCTGATTCAACGATATATTCCAGCACCGAGTCTGATGAATTTCCAGATGAATGCACATCCACGTGTGAGTCAGCTTTAGGCTGTGAGCTAAGCAGGAAGTCCCCTTGTGACACATTAGTTTCTTTACACTGTTATACCATACAATTCCATGTAGCAAGTTAGTAAACATTAACTTCCTTCAATAGTATTGTCATTATGATAAACAGTATAGCAAATCATAGCAGAAGTGTTGGGAGTAGTAAACCTTGTGCATTAATGTTATCCTGACGCAGCAATGTGCTGGAGTCGAGAGTGTAGAACCACAACCTTCCTCCTCAAATCCACCGCGAGGATCAGTCAGTGAGGAGATTCAGAGCAAAGGCCCAAGACATCTGAATCTGCCACTCACTCTGGGCTACACTGTGCAGGTAGTCTCAGAGTGCAATGGCCTATTTATAGCACTTTTCACTCTGATCTTATAAGCGCAATAGATCCAACACGGGAAACTATGCTGGAGCCTGGCCCTCCTGAAGCCTGGAGACACTGTGATCGCAACACCATCTGTAATCCTGCAGGATGAGAAGTCACTGATCTGCCCACTTGACGACTTTTTTAAAAAATGTTAAGGTTACTAGGTATTAGTCCCACCCTTGCCTACAACATTACCACTTACATTAGCAGAAAACCTCCCCCTCCTCCCCACCCACCAACACACACACACACACACACACACAAACAAACAGCAGAGAAGCCTCCTGAGATTCCCGTGAACAATAGCTCGGGTGGATGTTGAGCTGTTTGTGGCTGGAAACTATTTCACACAGTCAGTGCACGGTACAGACAGCTCGGAACTAACACATGGTACACAGGCAAAGAAATAAATTTGTTTGTCAAATGCAGGGATTTTGCATTGTGTCTGAACCATGTTTATACTCAGTTACAATTTTGAAACGATTGCAAAGCTACTGTTTAGAGATGTGTAGTGTTAGTCCCTGAAATGACTCACTTCTCACTGCTCCCCGATGCAAATTATCTGCCTACTGAAAGTGGAATGGGAACCATGAACATTCACTGTTCATACGCAGCACTAACAGAAAGTGGGGTATTTGTGGGTGAATCCTCTGGCAGGCTGCCCCATTAGCTGACTTCCCCTCCCGGCAGCGACATGAGCAAGTTTAACAAGCGCCCAGGAATGCGCAGCCCCATGTCAGGTGCTCGTTTAACCAGTTAACAGCTCAAATCAAGAAAACAGATTTGAAATCCAATCACATGATTCAGACGACTCAAAGTGCTTCACAGAATACTGCAAAGTGGATCGACTATTGTGTGGGCAAACATTGTTTTTAGATATCCACCGAGTTCCCCTTTGAAAGCTAAATGGAATCTGCCTCAACCACTACCTCTAGTCACTGACTCACCGATAGGAGAAAATAAGGTCTCTCCATTGACTATCAAAACCCCTCAAAGCCCACCTGCTTAACAGCAAAAAGTGCCCTAGATATTAGTGTAATGTCAGAAATAATAGTGTTGCTGTATTTGAGCCACTCCATTCCACCGCTCACAAACTCCGGGATTAAAAGGGGAGTGAGAGTGGCTTTTGTGAGTTTACTGCAGTATTAGGCAGCCCTCGTCAGCTTGCACTGCCCTCAAGTGGGAGGATACCAGTACTAAACACATCGCTCCCGACACTCGGATCTCTAAAAACTCTGGGAGACGACAGAAAAAAAAAGGGGAGCAAAAAAAAATGTCAGCACCAAAAAAAAAAGCCTGGACCAGAAATTCTGGCAGATATACCCCAACCTGGTGTAAATCTGGTCCCCGAGTTGCACACATTAAACAACAACAAGAAGATTAAATATGTATAGCGCCTTTCAAGTCGGGAGGACGTCCGAAGGCGCTGGACCGAGTACAGCATTTCAGAACAGGAATAAATGATATTCAATGATTTGTGGCAAATGGAGAGCATTCCTGCTGTAACAGCGATAGATCAAAGTGCTGAACTACAGCACATGGCAACTTCAAAGTTGCTTCACAATATCCCTTTAACTGCCAGCTGCATCGGGCAAAAACAGTCACTTCCACAATCAAGACTGAAGTGCTTTGGTGCTATAAAATATAAGTTCTTTCTTTACATGCTGGGGAAAGTTTGATGTCTTGTACAGGTTCTGGCCACGAAAATCTGGGACAAATTCAGACTGGAAAAGACTCGTCCCCCCCCTGCCCCCTCACATACCGAGACACACAACTCACAACCCGGTTACTTTGCCACCCTTCACTAAACTGTACAAAGTTAGATTCTGATAAGCTGAAAGCTTACAACTTTTAAACGTCAGAAGTGTAGCCACCTTTATATTTCTGATCTTAGCAAACGCTCTCCCACCAAACACCCCAAACCTACCGGCTCCGTGTCACGGACCTTCTTCTGGACAGCATTCGTGCACGTTGTGTGTGTTCCTTAAAGCTCCAATTTGAATGACTCAACGAGAACAGCAATTTTTGTTGCCTATCCACACTGCTCATTTCACGCTTAAACAACAGGATGCAACCACTTGTTGAGAGGTCACAATGAGTAAGCCGCAGAGGCAGGTACAGGCAAAGTCTCTCTACATTTGCATCAGAACTGCTTACCACGAGGAAGTTTTAAAAAAAATCCACAGAGCAAACCACTGCTTTGACTGCCTGCATCATCCGGGAAAGCACACACAAAGTGACTCTAATCTCAATCTTAAAACGATTTCCGTTGATTTCACAGAAAACATGTTAATTTCGTTTCTATTTAAACACATTGAAAGAGATTGTGGTTTTCTCTTTTAAACACACATTTCCTTGCAAAAGATCACATACTTTACATTTACCCAAGACCAGAAACGGAGATTTAATTTCCTTCTTAAATTTCAATTAACGTCTTACAATAATACAATACAATTGGCATTTAATTCCATTTTACTATTTTTGCTCTATATTCTCGTCTTCTCAACTTAAGCTTGTTGAAATATTCCAATCAATTCTGTACTTGGCTTTCTGGTGCCAATCCACATTTTGGCTTTCAAGTCTCAGATCTCCCTTCGAACTGGCTTAGCTCCAACTAACCATGTCCTCCAGTTTATGAGCCCATTACACTAATTTTTCCTCAAAAATACATCAGTTATTCGCCTCCTGGCTGTTTACAGAACACAGATTGGCCCCAAAGTTTGCCTACAAATAGTCACTACAGTTTACAGATATAACTGTGAAGTACCGGGAGACATTGATGTCAAGTGCTACAATAGAACACCAATCCATTTAACCGCAGCGGCCTTCCTTGTGGAGATTGGATTCAAAGTGGCGACATATAATAATAATAATAATACTTGCATTTGATATAGCGCTTTTCACGTCGGGAGGACGTCCCAAAGCACTTCACAGAACACACTGTAAAGTGAATTGACTGTATATTTGTGGGCGAACGCGGCAGCCAATTGCGCACAGCAATGTCCCATAAAGCGTCGTAGATTGAAAATGACCAATTTATTATTGTTTTTGGTTTTTAGAGGGATTATTATTAGGCTCTGTGTGGAGTAAGGAAACTTGCCCAAGGTTTCGCCCTCTGCCTGGAATTGAACTCAGGTCTCTAGCTTGCAAAGCGAGTGCTCAACCACTGAGCTACAGGACTCCACTATCAGAGTAAGTACTCTTTGGCTCCTGGCACGCCCACACCAAGCAACTTCAAAATACG